GCTGGGGGGGCGTGTGCTGGATCTGGCAGACAGCTCGAATTTTGCTTTCGGGAGAATTGCAACGTTGCACTCTTTCTCGCTGGGCTCTTTTTAAGGTCAAGAAAAAGGGCAGCGAAAGGATTTCCCAGCTGACTGAAATACCAGACACACGTTGCAGGTGAGAAGGTGGGAAAGGGGAACCAGAGCAGGGAAAAAAAAACATCAAAAGTGCTGAGTAGTCTACCAGCGATTGGGCAGTCACTTCCTTTACAAGGCCGACTTGATTGACGAGGGTGGGGGGAGAGGGGTTAGCTAATCCTTCCAGGCAACTGCTTAGGTGTTGAGCTTTTTTATAAGGGTCAGAGGACAGGTAACTACAGGACTAAGGTAACTGGCAAGGGAGGAAAAAAAACAGAAATGCTTTTACACTGCAGTTTTTATGGTCTGGATTTGGAAATGAAAGAGTGATGCCCTATCCCCAAACTCCAAAGTTTCTCGGGGCTGGCTCTTTATCTGTCTCAGAAACTGACCCTCCCCCTGTCCTTTTGACCCTATTCCCAATTAAACTGCTGCCTCTCTCCTGCTCTTGTGTTTGGCTGATATTGTTATTGGCTCCAGCCCTCCAGTAACGTAGCTCCCCCCCTCCTCCGCTTTCAATCTGCCGACATTACCTTCCTTCTCCTGCTCCTGTTTCACAATCAAGCACCGGCCGTTCTCAGAAAACCGCACACCGCCCAAAAAGGCTGGCCAAACCCATCCTGCAGGGGCTCATGTGCCAAGCCAGGCTCCAGGAGAGACAGCTGAAGTCTAACCCAGTCCCTGTTACCGCTCAAGCGCTCTCGTCAGCGGAAACCTCTTCCGAGGCGTGCGGCCCTTACCGATGGCATCACACTTCCATCGCCCCCGGCCTTGACCGTAGCAAGTGCAGTTCATCTGGTGACCCTCGTCATGCCGTTTGTAGAAGGTCTGGTCCACTTCGTACGTAATTCCATCCACCACGCACTGATCTGTGGGCAGAAAGGTGGACAGGCTAGTTCCCGGCGATTCACCTCTCCGCTCTGTTGTGGTCAGACCTGGGAGAGGAGCTGGCAAGGATTGCAGGAGTCTAATGTGGTCAGTAAATACCACCATTTATTTAAGCTCAGTAAAATACTACCAAATACGTGTGCTGGTCAAAACTTCACCTCTCCCACAAGACTGGCTGCCTCTCCTAGCGGTCCTGTGACCTTGTATCCTTTCCAATTAGGTTTTAGTCTTGTTTACATGCTCACATTAAAACCATTATAGTACATCGCCCCTCCTTCGCCCCCCACAACCACCCTCGCGCACCCCCTTGCCAAGTCACTTGAGCCTTCCCGTTACATTACAACTTATTGTTTACATCTCCTTATCCTACAATGCCAAGTCTACAGCACCGACCAGACCATTCGGCCCAATTGCTTCGTGCTGGTGTTCACGCCCCACGTGCGCCTCCTCCCACTCTTCTCCACCTAACGCAATCCTTTTTCCCATCCTTCACGCACTTCCTTAAGAATACTGGCATCATTCACCTTGCCTCTACCGCGGAAGCAAGTTCCACATTCTTTGGGACAAGAGGTTTCTCCCAGGATCTCTACTGGATTGACTCATGACTGTTTTAAACCCGTGGACTCTTTTGACATGGAAACACCTCTTCCGTGTGTCCCATATCAAAGAGTTCATAACCTCCCAGCCCTCCATCAGCTTCTCTGTTCTAAAGAATCACAGCACCATCTGGTCACCTCTTCCAAAGTTCAAAGCTCTTATCCTGGGGTAGGCGATCGCCCAGTGGTATTATTTTGAATCAACAAGGCACATTGCATTTCATTATGTAGATCCGTCATTTCCAAGGAAGTGGCCACTCTTGAAGCATCAGTGAGGAGGAGAGGACACGTCCAAGTTGAGACGTTTTTTGTTGTGTTTAACATGCCAGGGGACAGGCTCCTGTGATCCCTCAAGCCCCGCAGCTCCCCCCACCACCATCACCAAACACCCCCCCCCCCACCCCCAACCCCGGCAGGTCCTCGTCTGGCTCTCAGGTCAATACCAGCATGTGGCCATTAACCAGCATAGCTATCGGTTCAATCGGCAGCTAATCACCGGGCAACCTGCCCCTGTCGTTCCCATTGCTTGGATCATCGCTGGCAGGGCAGGAAAATGTCATCTCCCCTCCCGCTACCTTCTACCAGCATTTTCAGAGGCCTCTTGTCTCACGAGAGAGAGGGAAAGAGATAGAGAGAGAGAGAGATAGACAGAGAGAATAAAAAAGTAAGAGAGAGGGTGAAAGAGAGAAAGAAAACATGAGAGAGAGAGAAAAGAGATGGAGTGAGAAACAGGGGGCATACAGAGAGAGGGAGAAAGACAAACAGAAACAAGAGTGAGAAAAGTAGATGGATTTGCACATTTCCGTAGCTGGACACACAAGCTCCTGACAAGTTGTACATGCTCAGAATAGATTGGAGCAGTCCTTAAGTTGCAGACAGACTAGACCAAGGGGGGAAACGTCCTACTGGTCAAACCACAACAGACCCACCTCGCAGTTGAGCATGTGCGATGCAGGTCCATTCACCGCGGCCGTTGCCATGACAGGTACACCTCATCATGTGACCCTGCTCGTGCTTTTTGTCCCACTGGTCTCCAATGTGATACATAACCCCTTCTGAATTGGTGCAAACCTCTTCATGTTCTGGGAACAGGCGAGAGGAAGAAGTGACAAAAATGAGCACTACACCAAATATTAACGGTGACACAATCGAGTGGAAAGGTTCAAAACACTTCATCATGCATCTGTTCACTTTGCAACAAGGTACCATCACGCTTTGATGCATTGCAATAATTCTCTCAAACAACGCGCCTCAAATAACATCAAAAACTGGGCACTCTAATGGAGCTCACTATAAGGTTTCAAGGGGTTCTTTGGAAGCAATATTCCTTCAGTATATCTGCTCGAGCGTAGCAGACTGAGCAGTGATCTGATTGAGCTGTAGTGGATGACAATATGGTTTTATAGGGTGGAGAGAAACTGTTCCCTCTGCTCCACGAGGGGAAAACAAATTAAAACCAAAGCCTAAGGGTGCTCAGTGGTGACATGTGAGCAAGTGTTTCTCGATAAAGCATCGGGGGAATCTGAAATGGGTGCCTCCAATAACCTCTTGAGGTGTTTGGGCAGGAGGTAGGGGGTGTCAAATGGGAGAGTGATAAAGAATTTTATGACGTGAGAGTGTTTGATAAAGGTATGGGAGCTTTTTGACGATGTTAACTTAATGGCAGAGAAACGAGAAGCCTGCAGAATAGGTGATCTTGAAAAGGGATTCACTAAGTTACCACACAAACAGGAAATACATTAGGATCAATAAATGATTGGTTAACAGACAGAAAGGCAAAGAGTAGAGATAAATGGAGCGCTTTCAAGTTGGTTGGCTGTGACTATAAGAGTGCCATGTAGATCAGTCCCAGACCTCAGCTCTTTGCAATTTATTTTAATGACTCCAACACAGAGACAGAGGTTATACCCAAATCTCCTGACGATTTAGCTAGGTGGGAGCATAAGCTGTGAGGAGAACACAACGAGGCTGCAAAAAGATCTAAACAGGTTCCCAGTGCGAGCAGCCAGATGGCAGATGGAGAATGATATGTGAAACTAACTGTGCGGCTATTCACTCTGGGAGCAAGAACGGGAAGCAGTATAATTTTTAAAAGGCATGAAATGTTAATGTTTATAGGTGTTCATACAAGGAACACAAAAGTTAGCATGCAGGCACAGCAAGTGATTAGACATGACTTTGGCTGTACTGCAAGGGAACTGAAGTACAAGAATGAGGAAGTCTTGCTACAATAGTGCAGGGCTTTGATCAGACGTCATCTGGAATACCGCGCGGAATTTTTAAAAAATCATTTGCAAGGTTTGGGCATCACTGGCTAGGCCAGCACTCAGCACCCAGCCATAACTGTCCAGAGGGCAGTTGAGAGTCAACCATATTGCTTCGGGTCTGGAGTCACATGTAGGGCAGACCAAATAAAGATGGCAATTTTCTTCCCTAAAGCGCATTAATGAGGCAGGTGAGGATTTTCCCAACTATCATTTCATGCCTACCATTAGGTTTTTAATTCAGGAATTCAAATTCCACCATGGCAAGATTCAAGCGCAGGTCTCTAGAATATTATCTGGATCTCCAGATTAATAGTCTAGAGATAATACAATTAGGCCATCACGTCCCAGGACCTCTGGACTCTATATTTAAAGGGAGAGGATACTTACACTGGAAAGAGTTACAGTGAAGGTTTACTGAGTTGGTACCCAGGACAGGATGGTCCTATAATGAGACACTGAGTAAACTGGACCCATACTACCTGAGATTCAGAAGAACAGACGCCAATATCGTTGATACAGAAGAGATTTGAGAGGGGAGACAGTGAAAAGTTGATTCCTCCTGGCTGAGGAATCTAGAACATCGCGTGGTACTGTCTTGACATATCAGGCCAATTATTTAGGACAAGAACGAGGAGAAATGTCTTCACTTAATAGTGTGCAAATACGCCATCGTTCTAATATATATAAGACAAAGAAATCAAAGGATCAGCCATGATCGTATAGACTATTACAGAAAGCTCAGGGGGTCAAATGGTTTATTCCTGCTCCTATTTCTTATGCCTTTATTTAGGGATATGGAAGCAAGGCACCTTAACAGAGAGTTAAGATGCACATCAGCCATGAACTAATTGAATGACCAAAAAAGGTTCGAAGGATCAAACGACCTCCACCCATTCCCAAGTTAGCTGGTAAAATTCACAACATGAATTCCAGGATGGGACACACACACTCACATTCACATTCATTCAAATCATTCCTGAACACTTCCAAAAAATGAGCCAGGTTTTCCACACCAGTCATACAGCCAGCAAGACATGTTGTCTCAGCTCTGCAAGGTCGACCAGCCTATGCTGCTGAACAGTTTACATAGGTGACACTGGAGACTGGCTGAGGTGGAACGATGCAAGGGAAATTGGGACAGGCCAAAGTCATACCTGCCATGGGACAGAAGCCAAACCTCCCATCGGTGTCATAGTTTGCAGTTGTTCCACACCACTTCATGTTATCCCTTCTTCCATCAGATGTGCACTCAGTGTAGTTCCGCATGTTGTACAGGTAAGGGAAGTGACACAGCGCCCCATTCGAGTTCCCTCCTCGGCTCTGAATGTACGTGGCTAAATGCAGCGCAAGGTCAAAGAAGCAAGGAGAGACAAAACAATGTCAAATTGTTTCTCAGCGGTTCAGGTACAAGGGGCACATTCAAAGAGATCAAACAGACTTTTGCCCGCACCCTTACCCACTCCACCAAACCCTGTCCCCCTACTGAGGGGGCAGCCGGTGAGCCAGTTACTGGACTAAACCGACAGGAGTCTCTCAAAAGTGGACAGAATAGTCATTACTGCAAAGTTTGCCTTACGCTGCCAATCAAATGTAGTTACGAGGTACGTATACTCAAAGATTATGACCTGCTCCGTAAGAACGGTTTGGGCTAAATTTAGGTCTTGAAGCCTAGAGCCGTTCGGAACCAAGTGTCCACCATTCCTGTGTTAGGGGAGCTCCTGCAGAAAAACGTAGCCTGTATAAATTGGGAGGAAATACTTCCTGCTACTTCCCACCATCACTTTGCTAATATTCACCCTGGAAGATCTCTCTTCCCGTTACTGCCCTCCACCTCGGCCCAGGCCATTCTACATGGTGTATGTTGACAAGTCATTTAACCATGGTGGGGGATGTGTTACACTCAGATTTGCCTGCATCCTGCACGACCCCATCCCTCCCAATCTATTTCATCCTGCCCCAATCCCACTGCCATACGTTCTCCCGGTAACAGATTACTGGATATCAATTAGGGGTAGGGCGTAGGGGCACCAGACCACAGGCTCCCAATCGCCAATCTCGCTGATCAGCTCATCCAGCAGGGAATGGCCACTGGCAGGCCGGGAATGGAGGGGTGAGAAGAAGGTGGAGTCGAGGAGTGTGAGAGTGGAGGAGGAGGAGGGCGGGGGGGGAGGTGGTGGTTGCTATCAAAACGCGGGTGGCTCCCGGCCACTGACTGAGACGGGTGGATCACGCAATCTGCAGTTTGTGACTGGACGTGAAACAAAGGGGAGATGGTTGGCATGCGTCAGAGGGCGGCTTTTGACAACCAAGGCTTCCGGACTTACAAGCATGCTGGTTACAGAACGAGTAAGTGCGATCGCTGTCAAAGTCTTTGGTCGTACTGCACCAGAATTTGCCATCGTTGCGTCCTTCACTTGTACAGGATTGGTAAGTCTTGCCCATGAACATGAAGGGAAACACGCAGGGTTGTCCGTTGGTGTTACCTCCATATGTCTGAGATGCTGATAAGAACAAACATGAACAACAGAATTACACTACCACCACACTTTTGTCTGCTCATCTCAAAACACTTTACTAAGTTTGGTTTGACGGATGTAGCTGAAGTGTAACTCTTGGCCAGAACACCTGACAAAAAATCTTGAAGATAACAGAATATTTCACACCCCATCAGCCAAGGACTATGCACTCAACTCTCTGGGGTGAGATTTGAACCGTCTAACTCAGAAAGCTGGAGAGTTACCACATTGGTTATAGTCTTCGCTGCCAAGTACTTATGGTGCTGAGATATCCCCTGAGTGACTGGAAAGTAGGATGCAGGGCAAAACTCACATTAAGAAGGACGCGACTCTGTGCAGTTGTGAATTAGTGACCTTCCGATTTCATCCAAATTTTCTCAGTGTTCGCATTTCTTCAGGTCGCTCCGCAGTTGTCCACAAAGCTTCACCCTGACAATCCTGAGCCCCTTCCTGCTCATGTAGACCCTCCCTGATCCTCTGTGGCTGTAAGGAGCTCAAGGCAATGCCAAATCCATAAAGTGGGGAACGAGTTCAATGAAAAAGACACCCCATGCCTCCCTGAGTCGTGCAGACCCTAACCTTGACAATGAGCAGTTGAAAAGATGCCTGGCGCAGTCACCTGTAATTGTTTCACAGGCTATACATTCCGAAACGTGCAATAACCCCAAACCCATCAAGTTCCCTTTTTATAAAATTTTCAGAAGTGATATCAGGGTTTGTATACTTACAGCGCACTTCTAATACTTACGCAAATCGCGGCAGCTCACACCATTACCCAGACAGGTGCACAACATGCGTGAGCTCCCCTGCTTCTTAAACCATTGCATTCCATCGCTGTACAAAATACCTCCGTCGCTGACACACTGAGGCTGGTAACCCACGCGCTGGACTTCACGCTGTAGGTGAGTGCTTTCTAGAAAGGAGGAACCAGATTTTTCTTTTAAAAATAAGTTCTTGCTTTCAATAAAAAGATCAACAGAATAAAGTTCCAAATTGGAGAATCAACATGAAACAATCAATGGAACGTTGTGACAAAAAAAATGGAACGTTGAGACAAAAAAATGGAACGTTGTGACAAAAA